CTGAAGGGGCTGGATGGGGAATGGGGGGCTGGATGGGAGCTAACTGGGGGGTGGGGGCTGAGGGGAGCTGTGTGTATTATGGGGGGGGTCCCCCAGTTAGAGCACCTCCAGGACATTGAGCCTGCCTCTTCCATCCACAGGTGTCGTCATGCTCCCCCCGCCGGTTCGATGTGTGGACGCACCCCAAGGCCGATAGCTTGGCAGAGTGGAGAGGAGCTGGCGGGCAGCCAGGCCTGGGCCTTCCTCAACTGCAGCTGGGAAAAAATCACTGCAGCAGCCCTTCAGCCTCCCCTCTCCCCCTCCTCCTGCCCCTGTCCTGCGGATGGGGGCGATCGGCTCACCTGCCCCCTGCTCTGGCCCCTCCACAATGGTTGTGAGTCCCGCCTGCCTCAGCATCCTGGGGTCACAGTTAAGTTTGTCTGTCCTTTCTTTGCACAAGGGGGAGCAATTCCTTCAAATCGCCCTGCGCCATCTGCACCAGAAATGAGCCCCCCCTTTCAGGAGAGCCTGACAGCCCTGCTCTCCCCCAAGCTGGTTCTGGGGTGATCCAGGAGGCCCCCACCAAGCTGACAGCCTCTTAGTCAACCTCCTTCCCCCTGAGCCTCAGCTGGAGCTGAGACCCACACGAGCTCCCTGATGCCCAGGGATCTCGGGTAGGAGCAGGGAGGTGACTTTCCCTCGGTGTTTGGCACTGGTGCCACCACGGCTGGAACACTGTGTCCAGTGCTGGTGGCCCCAGCTAACGAGGCGTGGGGATAAACTGGAGAAGAGCCACAAGAATGAATAAAGGATTAGAAACTTGCCTTCCAGTGAGAGACTCAGAGCTCAGTCGATTTGGGTTAACAAAGAGGCTAAGGGGTGACTTGAGGACAGCCGATAAGTACCTAGCTGGGGAGCAAAACATTGACCTTCGCTCTAGCAGACAAAGGTCTCACACGCCCATGGGCTGGAAGCTGAAGCTAAGCAAATTCAGATGGGAAATAAAATGCCCCTTTTTTACAATGAGGGCAATTAATCCTTGGAACAGTTCCCAAGGGCAGGGGTGAATTCCCTCTCGCAGGCCAGTTTTAAATCCAGACGAGCTGGTTTTCTGAGCTCTGCTCTAGTTCAACCAGGAATTCGTTCAGGGAAGGCCTCTGGCCTGGTAGACGGGAGGTCAGGCTAGGCAATCACAATGATCCATTCCTGCCCTTGGCTGCTGTGGCTACAACACACCAAGCGATCTGGGGCCCAGGCTGGGCTCTCCAGGCGCGGGTTGTACCTGCCAGGCTGATCCCTGGGGAAATGGCACTGGCTAGTGGTGCTACTTTTGGCCAGGGCAGCCTGGTGGGCTGCTGTGCTTGTATTGTAAACTCAGACTCGCCCTGCCCGCGCCCTGCTGGAAACTGCGTTCACAGCGAACATTCAAACACCCTCTTCCATCTATACGACTAGCAGAGGCCAGAGCTTCTGGGCCATCCCCTGTAGCACCTCCCGCTGGGAGACAGGGCCGGCTCTGTTTTTTGACGCCCCAAGCAGCGCGCCGAATTGCCGCCCCGGACGGCGGGGGCAGTCCGTGTGCCGTTAGGGCGGCACGTGCGTTTCCGCGGTGGCGGCAATTCGGCGGCAGCTTCTGTCTTCAGCTGGAAGACAGAAGCTGCCAAATTGCAGCTGAACATAGAAGCTGCTGCCAAATTGCCGCCACCGCGGAAACGCGCATACCGCCCTAATGGCACACGGGCTGCCCCTGCCGTCCGCGGCGGCAATTCGGCGCGCTGCTTGGGGCGGCAAAAACACACGGACTGCCGCCCCTTGCAGATTGCCGCCCCAAGCACCTGCTTGGAATGCTGGTGCCTGGAGCCGGCCCTGCCGGGAGATGCTGGTATGGGCGTAACTAACAGCTCCCCGGCTGGCAGGGCTTGGCAGTGCCCAGCGACGCTGCGACGGGTAGAACCCTGCAAATCCGCGGGTATCTGTGGACCATTTCTGTGGATAGCAGCGCGGATGTGGATACAAATTTTGTATCTGCGTAGGGCTGTGACGGTAAGAGCCGGCGGGCAGCTGTGAGAAACCTCTCACCAATCCTCCACCTGTCCTGGGCGGGAGGCCTGGGGGGCAGGGACACTGGGCGGGGGGCTGCTTGGTTCCTCTCCCCGACCCGGCCTCGGCCAGGGGGGCAGGTCGGAGCTGCAGTCCAGCCACGGTAAGAGTCGGGCAGGCTGCTCCAGGGAGCCACGGCGGAGCTTCCACCTGCTCTGGGCGGGGGGCCCGAGCAGCCCCCGGGCAATTTCACAGGTGTCCTCCCTCCCTCCAGCCAGGCCAACCAGGGAGCTGTGGGGAGCAGTGGCAGACTCTCCACCTGCCCATGGTATGGGGGAGGGGGCCTGAGAGCAGCCCCCGGCAGCCGAGGGCAGGTGGAGGGTCCGCGACTCCGCGCAGGCTCCCCAAGAGCTGTCCGTGGCTTTCCCCGATTGGCTCCAGCGGGGGGATGCTTTGGAGCCTCATCCCAGCCCCCAATGTAGAGCCCTGCAAATCCGAGGATATCTGTGGATACCCACAGATCATTTTTGCGGATCGCGGATCAGATGCGGATACACATTTGGGTATCCGTGCAGGGCTCTAGTGACGGGCACCAGTTCATGCGGCTTTCATGGATGAGCAATTGAGGAGGAATGAGATACGCCGTGCAGCCATGCGTGGCCCTATCATAACAACACCCCCGCTCCACTGCACCACTGTTTACAAGCAGCCCTACAGTAACTAATTAGAAGAGGCAGCCCAGGGCTAATGAGCTACAACAAACCAGCAAACTGAAATCGCTGACATCAGGGGAAGAATCTGCCCCCAGTCCGGCTCCCCAGTCACCCCAGTATCATCTCGGGGATGACCAATGATGAGAACCCCCCATACCTGCCCCACTCTGAGGGGCGCTGCCCCATACATCTACCCCCAGAGATCCCTCTGCCCCACACTGTCTGATTCCGTACCTGTCCCCTCAGATTCCCTGGGAGGTGCCCTGGATCGCTTGACCTCTAGGTTGGCAGCATAAGGTGCCGGGGGCAGTCTAGAGGATGACCAGCGACTGATCTCTGCCATCCAGCATCTGACTGATGCTGATGTCAGCAGCTTTCACATAGTACTGCCTCCAACTACTCACGCCCCCCTCCACCCCTCATGACAATGAACACCCAGATTGAAGCTCTGTCTCCATAGCACTTCCCCATGGCAGTAGTTAGCAGCTACTCCCCCATCAGCTGGTGCAGACAGTGGCTTAGCTGCTAGTGGAGATGGGGCTCATCACACCCTTGGTGACACAGTGCCCAATGGTTGGGTCCCGTCTATGCCAGCAACAGTGATCCAGCCAATGCGGGATTGCTGACAACCAAAGACAATGCTAGGGCAGCTGGTGTCCTGAGCTCCCTCTGTCCTGCCATGAGATGGCTGTCCCTCTATGCTATCTATCTGGCCCAGAGCCCCCTCTGCCCCACACGGAGAGGGAGCTGCCTCCCAGAGTCCCCTCTGCCCCACACGGAGAGGGAGCTGCCCCCCAGAGCCTCCTCTGCTCCACACGGAGAGGGAGCTGCCCCCCAGAGCCCCCTCTGCCCCACACAGAGAGCGAGCTGCCCCCCAGAGCCCCCTCTGCCCCACACGGAGAGGGAGCTGCCCCCCAGAGCCCCCTCTGCCCCACACGGTGAGGGAGCTGCTCCCCAGAGCCCCCTCTGCCCCACACGGAGAGGGAGTTGAGCCCCAGAGTCCCCTCTGCCCCACACGGAGAGGGAGTTGAGCCCCAGAGCCCTCTCTGCCCCACAGTGGAAGGGATCTGAATCCAGGCCCCTTCAATCCTGTGCTAGAAGGGGACTGTTCTGCTCCAGGCCAGCTCTTCGGGGCTGCAGTGCCCCAGTGCTCCCAGCAGCTGCCCTGTGGCTCACACAGCTCAAAACATCCCCCAGGAGCCCTGTTCATCCGGCTTTTCCTACCTTCTTCACAGTTGACCCCTGAGTGGCCTGGGCAGCACCTCCACTCCAGAGCCGTGACTGTCTTGTAGGCCACCTTGTACGCTGGTCTCACGATGGCTCTGTAGCTGCGAAACGGAAAGGGCCCCGGCGTCAGGAGCTGCGTCTGTTCTCAGGGGCCAGGCTCAGCACCAGCATCCCTAACATTTGTCACCACCAGGCAGGCTACAGATCAGCCCAGGTGGGTAACCCATCTCCAGCTCCGCAGGCACCAGGCCTGATGCTTCTCAGGGTGGAAGTTGGCTCCTTGCTGTCCCCCTTTCAGCATTGCATGGGAAGGGAGTGGATTCCTGCCTGGCTCCTGCTGGGATCAGCTAATGGGCCGGAGCCTCCCAGGGTGTAGGAGCAACATGGGGCAGGAATGAGTGGGGAAGCCACCCTACCCTCACCCGATGAGGCCGTTCCAGGTGGGGGAAGCGTGTGGCTACCCCGCCAGTGCAGACTGAGTGGGTCTCTGCGGTGCGAGGAGGAGGAGCAGCCCATGTGCTGCTATAGGGCCGGAGCAGTTCGAGCGTGAAGGGCCCTACGAGGAAGCAAAACCTCCCCACCTTGCAGCATGAACTCTGGATGTGTGCCTCCCATGCCCAGCTCTGCCCACGTGCGGCACAGCAGACAAGCAGCATGTGGCAGGGAGTGGGGGTGGTGGAAGGGGAAGTTTAAAGATGCAGCAGCGTCTCTCTCACCTGCCTCCGTTGCAGCCCCCAGGCCAGCGGCAGCCTTGGAACACCCTCTGCAGGAAGGTGCCATTCTGGACATGGCAGGAAACTGTCCTTGTGACCATGTACGAGCACCAGTTCCTGAAAGAGACCAACATAGGCTTCATCACACCCTGCTCCTGCCCCTGCTCCCGCTCAGGGGGCAGATGCCCTTCACTAGCCCTAGCAGCACTGGCTGCTGGGCCAAAATCTATTGGTGTCCAATGGTCACTGAGACCCCCGCAGGGCCCAGCCAGTCACAGAGATCCCAGGCTGGGCCCAGCTGCTTAAACCAGCTCCCCTTTGGATGCACCAGCCCTGTCGTCTCAGAGCAAATGCTACATCCCCCAAGAACTTGGCTGGTTCTCCAGGGTTCCCCATTCGGACTGTCGTGCCAGTGTCTCCCCTCCAAGGAGCTGCCCTGCCTCTGAATCAGGTCCAGGCTTCCCCACTCCCCATCCCGAGCGTGAAAATGCTCCCACTACTAACCATGCAAGTTTCCTCTGGCCGGTATTCCCACTTAAATGCTGGCACCTTGGGAGTGTTTCACACAGCAGCAGAAAGCACTGGGCCTTTTTCCACTACTGGCCCCTTCACCCGTTCAAGGCCCCAACCAAGATTGGAGACGTGGTGAAAAGCCAGGCCTCCAGTACAGGGACTAGAGCAGCGGAGCTCCAGGGCCGTACCTATGCCCGCACAACTCCGTAGTGCAGACACATCCTACAGGCGATTGGGGGAGGTCCCAGATGACTGGAAAAAGGCTAATGTAGTGCCCATCTTTAAAAAAGGGAAGGAGGAGGATCCAGGGAACTACAGGCCAGTCAGCCTCACCTCAGTCCCTGGAAAAATAATGGAGCAGGTCCTCAAGGAATCCTTTTTGAAGCACGTGGAGGAGAGGAAGGTGATCAGGAATAGTCAACATGGATTCACCAAGGGCAAGTCGTGCCTGACCAACCTGACTGCCTTCTCTGATGAGATAACTGGCTCTGGGGATATGGGGAAAGCAGTGGATGTGATATACCTTGACTTTAGCAAAGCTTTTGATACGATCTCCCACAGTATTCTTGCCAGCAAGTTAAAAAAAGTCTGGATTGGAGGAATGGACTATAAGGTGGATAGAAAGCTGGCTAGATTGTCGGCTCAACGGGTAGTGATCAATGGCTCCATGTCTAGCTGGCAGCTGGTATCAAACGGAGTGCCCCAGGGGTCGGTCCTGGTGCCGGTTTTGTTCAACCTCTTTATTGATGATCTGGATGATGGGATGAATTGCACCCTCAGCAAGTTCGCAGATGACACTAAGCTGTGGGGAGAGGTAGATACACTGGAGGGTAGGGATAAAGTCCAGAGTGACTTAGACAAATTGGAGGATTGGGCCAAAAGAAATCTGATGAGGTTCAACAAGGACAAGTTCAGAGTCCTGCACTTAGGAAGGAAGAATCCCATGCACTGCTACAGACTAGGGACCGAATGGCTAGGAAGCAGTTCTGCAGAAAAGGACTTGGGGATTACAGTGGACGAGAAGCTGGATATGAGTCAACAGTGTGCCCTTGTTGCCAAGACGGCCAACGGCCTATTGGGCTGCATTGGTAGGAGCATTGCCAGCAGATCGAGGGAAGTGATTATTCCCCTCTATTCGGCACTGGTCAGGCCACATCTGGAGTATTTTGTCCAGTTTTGGGCCCCCCACTACAGAAAGGATGTGGACAAATTGGAGAGAGTCCAGCGGAGGGCAACGAAAAGGATTAGGGGGCTGGGGCAAATGAGTTATGAGGAGAGGCTGAGGGAACTGGGATTGTTTAGTCTGTAGAAGAGAAGAGTGAGGGGGGATTTGATAGCTGCTTTCAACTACCTGAAGGGGGTTCCAAAGAGGATGGAGCTAGGCTGTTCTCAGTGGTAGCAGATGACAGAACAAGGAGCAATGGTCTCAAGTTGCAGTGAGGGAGGTCTAGGTTAGATATTAGGAAACACTATTTCACTAGGTGGGTGGTGAAGCACTGGAATGGGTTACCTAGGGAGTTGGTGGAATCTCCTTCCTTAGAGGTTTTTAAGGCCTGGCTTGAGAAAGCCCTGGCTGGGATGATTTAGTTGGGGTTGGTCCTGCTTTGAGCAGGGGGTTGGACTAGATACCTCCTGAGGTCCCTTCCAACCCTGATATTCTATGATTCTATAGCGACAGACGGGGTGCAGGAACACCACCTCCCTGAGTGACAGCCATGAGGTCAATGGAAGCATTCTTCCATCAATCTAGCTGCGTCTATGCTGGGCCTTAGGGCAGCAATGCTAGGGCACGTGGGGTGGCGGGCATTCAGCCGTAGCTGTGTCAACCTATATTTTAAATATAGGCCAGGCCAGAGACTGTCCCTGCCCCAAAGAGCTTGCAGTCTAAATTGGTAAGAGAGCATGGCTAGCCCCCTCCCTGCCCCCTTCCCCTGCACTGACACTGCAGTATGCATGAACCTGGGACACGGCAGTTCAGGTTCTGAGGCATGCTCAGTTCTTGGCCTCGTTGCAAACAGTCCCAGACTGTGGAACAAACCTCCGCAGGAGCTAAGGCCCATCCTAGACCTCCCTGCCTCCTGCTCCAAGTGCCTAGTGCCAGTATCTCACTGGCCTCCTTTAAGAAACACACCAAGCTGGGTGGGTATTTGAACCCAAAATCCAGCTCTGCCAAAACAGGGCATGGCTCTGCACTCACAATCCACCCCCTGGGAGAGAGAAAACCGCACAGCACAGCTGTGAGTCGCTGGATGGCACGTGGTGTGACAGTCTGTATCCCTAGGTTCTCCCTTTCTACAGGACTATGATACATTTGGTACAAAGTATGCTGTCAAGGCTGATTCCCCACTCTGGCACTTCGAGTGCTGAAGGTGGGGGCCCGCAAGGATTTTAAAAATTAATACTGGCCACTCCAGGCTGGTATTAAACTCCCAAGGTCACAGCTTCTCTCTGACCTTGGATGAGTAGATGCTCCCACCACCCAAGTGTAAAACCCCCCCCCACCCCTTTTGAGAACTCAGGAAGGAGCACTTGGGAATTCCTTCCTGTGGGGTACCCTCAAGCCCTTTCACCACCCGCCCTGGGGAAGAGCTGAGAAAAAAAACAAAGTAAATCAGCTGTTGCCACCAGCTAATTAAACAACATGTGCACAAACCTCTTAGGGACACAAAAACCCAATCCTGTTCTTAAAAAAGGTTTCAGGGTAGCAGCCGTGTTAGTCTGTATCCTCAAAAAGAACAGGAGTACTTGTGGCACCTTAGAGACTAACACATTTATTAGAGCATAAGCTTTCGTGGGCTACAACCCACTTCTTCGGATGCATCGGTTGTAGCCCACGAAAGCTTATGCTCTAATAA